TCTTCCTCTTCAATCATGGTCTTGTCATCTTGCAATTGAGCATGACACATCATGAAATTGAACCCCTAATGTCCAACTTTGCATTCAATATCCAGTGTCCCCAAACTATTATTTGAAGTAAATGTATCATGCTTACAATCACCATAGACGTGTGAAATAGAAGCTTTTTCAGTGGACTCCACAAACTCAAAGACAGTTGTTCTAGCGCTCTACTCCCAGACACCCAAACCATTAATAATGGACCACACAGGAGTCTTCAGGTTGTGTCCCTATAAGGAGAACCCTGACCTAAATTAAATGGCACATATGTGTCCACAGATCTTGACTGACCTTCCTGAGGGCATGGAGAAATGAACTCGGAAGGAAAACCCAAGAGAAATATTTGGTGAGGCCCCATTTCATAGGTTGGGGTTCAAGCCTCTTCTCAGGGAAAGCCTTTCTATCTCCCATCCCCTTCCCACAATCCCAGTCCCAACCCCACTCACCCAAGACACAAATGAATTTATAACCATTTTCCTTTATTCTACTTAGTGGGGCACCCAGAGGGTGGGGTAGGGGGGAGCTACCTGAAACAAGAGAACACACAAGAAGGTAAACTCTACCCTACCCCCACTGGCCCCTGGTTCTTTCCCTCAGGGCTCAGGTTAGGCTTCCCTTTGCTCTGGGGTATAAGCCAACCCAAGTCCCTGAGTTGACCAGGTTTTTCCAGAAAAGGCATGCCCAGCCACCCCTGTTACTGATTGGCCTCTTGGTATTGGTGCAGTAGTTCATTGACATCTGTACTTTCCACTTTCACCCAACCATCTTCCTTCATGTGGTACACTGTGGGCAAATGAGAATGAACATGGAGTCACCTTTCACTTCAAGTTCCTGTCAATGATGTTATGTGGAAGATGACAACATCACAGGCCCAAACATACCCTCAACACATACATTATTACTGAAACTTCAATGCCCCCCTTTGGATGCCAAAAACCTCCTCCTCATGCCTGAGTGGTTCAGTCGGTTAAGCATCTGACTCTTAGTTTTGGCTCAGGTCATGATATCATCAGGGTTGTGAGTTCGAGCCCCTCATCAGGCTCTGCCCTCAGCGTGGGTTCAGCTTGAAGATTCTCACCCTCTGCCCTCCCCGCCCACCACTCTCACACATGTGCGCTCTCTCTCTCTCTCTCTCTCTCAAATAAATAAATAAATCTTTTAAAAGATTTTCTTTCTTTCCTTCTTTCCTTCCTTCCTTCCTTTTTAAAGATTTATTTATTTATCTCTACCACTCTGCCTCCTCTAACTCTCCCAATCTCAAATCCCCCTTCCCCACCCAGGAGGGTGGTGGCATTGGTTTCTTACTGTTGATAATACCGCCAGAATAGCTGTCTCGGTGGGTGGCATAAGTAATGGCCCTGCGGCCCAGTTCATAGGCCTCTTCAGGGCTGAGATTGGGCTGATAGCCACTATCCATGACCCCATAGGCATAAGTGCTCCCACTGCCAGTGGAGAACATATTTCCTGAGAGCCGAGTCCCATTTTGATCCACATAGTAGAGTCCAGGACCCTATAGGAAGCAAGAAGTTTCCAAGTTGGAGTCAGAGAGGGAGTTTTTAGTAACATACAGGTTCAAGTGTGAGCCATAAAAAGTGGATAAAAGAATAAGAACTACCCAGGAACATTTGAACTAGGAGAGCACTTTAGTAACAACCATAGAACTTTAGGGGAAAAAAGTTGGAATCAGCTATTTCAACAAAAGGAACAAGCTTACAAAACAATGGTCCATATCTGGACCCATGGATATGCTGGAACAATTCTATAACCCAGTGTTCTATGTGCCACCCATCCTTTAAGCGAGGGGATGGAAGTGTATCATGGGGAATCTGGTCTCTCATCAGTCGAGGGGGAATATGAAGAATGGAGAGCACGTACCTTCTTATCCCAGCCACAGATCATACTGCCCATGGAGAGGTCCATGCCCCGGTACTGGTACACCATGTTGGAGAGCAGTTTGGAGGCTGCTGACACTGAGATACGGTCCCCGTTCCGCAGGTAGTACAGCCTGGGTACAACAGGGTGGTGGGGCAGCAGATTCAGAGGTGGCAGGAGAAGGCTAGCTGTCTGAGCAGCCCACTTGATGTGCAGGAAATAATTAAAGAGACAAGCATTTAAGAAGAATGGTTTTGGGATCAGGGAGAGATCTGGAATTTAAAGAATCTAAACCACATAAAGAAATCCTATAGTAAATGACACTGTCCCACCAGGGTTGATGATGTCAGTGCTAAATAACTGATAAATTATCTGGCTTATTGGCAAGAGTACAAGCTGAGATCTGGGACAAGGTTTTTAATCACCAAAAGGCTCTTTTGTGAAATGCTACATTAGCACCAAAATGCTACATTAGCACAGGGGCGAAAGGATCCAGGACTGACCACTGGGCTTAGGAGAGCAATAAGAGGCCTGGCCTACCTGCACTCTTTGGCCAGCAGACGCTCCCAGTACTGACAGTCTGCAGCACAGCCAGACATGGTGCCAAGCAGGGAAGGGTTAATCTCAATCACCTTGTTAACCCTTGAGGAGCCTGCAAGAAGATGGAGTTTTGAGAGAGGTAGATTGACCCCCACAGCTCTCCCTGTGTGTCCAAAATCAGTATCTTCTTCTGCTTTGGTGCAGATGTTGGGCTCCTGCTGAGAGGCGCCCCAGCTCCCCATATTCTACTGGGGGGAACACACACACTCACTAATATAATTCCCAGCAGTAGCCCGAGAATCCACCGCCACAATCACTCCATGCTGGAACTTGAAGGCCAGTGTGGTGGTGCCATGGACCATCTCATTCCGAATGTTCTTTTCTCCATTCTCACCAAGGGACTGGAAGAATTCAGTGGGCTAATGAGAGAGAAAAAGCAGAGAAATGGGCACTGCAAACTTCTGAAACACAGGGCTCTAGGAAAGGATAAGGATTTACTAGGATTTGGGAGTGAGAAGATAGGCAGAAATTCTCCAACCATTAACAACCAGAAGAGTTAAGAACCCATCTCTACAAGGATGTGACTTGGGAAAAGGAAAAGAAGAAGCAGGTGACGCCAGCCTTTTCCATCTTCCAACTCAATGGATAAGAAAGGAAATAAATGTTAACCGTAACTAAACATTTTAAGGCCGACTTTAATGCTTTTTTTTTTCCCATTCATAGGGCATTTAACCCTCACAACACGTCTTATTAATAATATCCCCATTTTACGGAAGCGATGCCCCAGACCTAGACGAAGTGATTGAGCCAAGACACACAATGTTGAGTGGCTGAGAGAGGCCAACAGTCAAAGTTCCCCGGTTTTCCGAGGCACTCCACAGCCCCTAGAGCAAAGGAAAGCCCCAGGAGAAAGGCTTGGCGATTCTGGTCTCCCTCTGGTCTCCCTCCACCACACCTCTAACTCTATGTCCTAATCTTTTCTAACCCTCAGCGGTCAGCCCCAATTCCCACGTGGCCTCCTCCCTGGCACCAGGTTCTGGAAGGTTCTCCTTCACTAAAGGATGCCCCCTCCCCTGGGTTCCCGGCGTCTGGGTGGTCTCAAGGGCGACCTCCACTCCTCTGCGCCCTCCTCCCCGCCTGCTAACACACACCCCCCTTCCCCGCCCCGGTTTGCTTCAGAGCCCCGACCTGCATTCCCCGGGGGACGGCCAGCTCCGGAGATCGGAGGGAGAAACTGTAGTGTCCGGGGTCCGAGCGCAGGGGGCTTCCCAAGGCGGGGAAAGCGCAAGCCTTCCGCAGCCCTCGGGGGGCTCCGCACACCTCCAGCAGCGCCATTGTCGCCTAAGACCCAGAAATCGTCGGAGAAGGAAGCGAAAGCGAAAGCCCCGCAGCCCTAAGGGGAGGGAACCAGAATTTCTTCCACATCCCCCTGCCCTTTCCAAGAAGAGGCCAGTGGGCGACTGGAGACCAGGGATATCATATTGGGAACAGGCTGCTCTCTCCGCCCCTACGGCGGCTGGGGAAGCACAGGGTGATACTGTCAACAGAAGAGGAGAAGGGCAGCGAGCGGCTTCGAAAGCCGCCTGGGCGCTGAGATTCCGGTGGGCACAGCGACACGCCGCCGGGTGACCCCTGGAGCAGCTACGAAGTGGGGGTGGGGCTGTTACCGCCCCAAGGCTTAGTTAGCCTCGACCAGGAAGCTGCAAGTCAGCAAGAAGCTGGGGGCACTTTCACCTCCGGGGCTTGGGGCGTTCGTAGGAACATGATTTTATAAGAGTCGGGGAAAGAGGAGTAGGTGGGGGCAGTGAGTCTTGAGGGCAGGTTCTGGGGCGACCGGCAGCAGAATATACCCGCAATGTGGGGAGGGCGGCACCAGGGCGAGGACGCAGTCTCTGAATCTTTGGACTCGGTCCTTCGGGGCCTCTCCTCGTCCAACGGGCTCCCTAACCTACGGCCACCCGCAAGAACCGCCCTCTGTGCGCGCACCTCCTCGCAGGGCTCTCGCTCCGCGGAGCACCACGGAGGACCTCCTCTAAACGCCGCCCCTCCTTGCAACCCGGCTGGGCCTAACCTACCCGGCAACTGTTAACGTCACACACCGAGGCCCTCCCAGAATGGACGAGACTCACTAGACAACCCCGCCCACATGCTGAAAGGTACCCGGGCAGGTGCCACTTCTGAGAGGGGCGAGCACTCCGGGGAAAGGACCAGGGCGGGGGAGGTGGTAAAGTCAGTTTCTCGGTGGGCGCGCTTGCACTTCCTCTAGCTATGCTCACTCCATCTTCTACTTCAGAAAGGCCAGGGCTTTCTGCAGCTGCAGCTGCTAGTGCTTGGAGGGTGCCATATCCCACTCTGGTTCATCCTAAGGGCAGACGTGGGGGCATGGGAAAGTGGTGGGGGCAACCGTAGGAAACAGAAAACTTAAGGGAGGAGATGGCCCACTTAGGACTGTGAACAGCATTGGGGCTGCTGAAGGAGGGCGACACCAGAAAAATGCATTGCAGAAGTGGATGAGCCATTTGGTATGCTGAACACATGAGAAACCACAGTACGAAACACCAGTATCCGCTTTATTATAAATATCAAGAATCCAGAGTGTGTTATGGGTCAGCATATGACTTTAGCCATATTGGAAAGTAGCCGATCTTCCCTTCTCTGTACCTATTAAAGTTCTTATTTTTGGGGTTCTATCAACACCAAAATCCTGGCTCTACACTCACTTACACTAAGGTGTTCTAGATCCTGTTTTCTTCCAAGAAATCTGCATCATCAAGAGTTGTTTGGAGAGGGCGCAACACTCATGGCAGAATTTTAGGTATCAGTTATGGAGCTGTGCTCTAGGATGTCACTCCTCCTAGAAGCAGCTGCCTCCTGTGCAGCTCTGGTAAGCCCGTTGTTCCCAAATTCTCCATTAGAGAGGTGAAAAGAAGGGAGGGAGATAGCCTATGCAGGTCTAAGCAGTCTTTCATTCCGGAACACCTGACCCGCCAGGAGCCTGCATCATGGTCCAGAAGCATCCCCTCCTCTCCATGAGCTGCTGGTAGGTTCCTGCTTCACAGATGGTGCCTCCTTCCAGAAAGAGGATTTGGTCAGCCTGCTCCAACAAGCTGAGACAATGGGTGATAAGAAGCACAGACCGAAAGCGCCTCTCAGGACTTTTGTACAGGAGCTGCTTCACCTGAGAAAAGACACAGACTCTGTCAAGATCCCAGGGAGACACCTGTGTTCCAGAGCCCAGACAGCTCTCACCAGCATCACTGCCACCTGTGCCAACAGCCCCAAAGAATCGAAGATTCTTATTCTGAGTGCTTCTCTGTCTGACTTTTGACTTATTAAAGACTATTTACATGAGGTGGCAACAGTAGAATAAAAGTTAAGAGTCCTAAGATGAAACCCATAAGAAAAGAGGGAAGGGTATCAAATAGTCTCTCCTCTCTACGTATAAACTGGGAATTTTATATTCTGTTGTATTTTTTTTATATTCTGTTTTAAAAGAAACATAACTCAGTGGCAAAAAGAATGAGCATTCAGGTCAGGCAGGCTTGACTCTGGGTCCATGCTCTGCTACTCAACAACTCAATGACATTGAGTAGGTCATTCAACCTCTTTGTCCCCTTTTTATCCTCTATATAACAATGCCCCAGCTCACAGGCATTCACGATGAATAAATGAATGAGACAGTAGAAAGAAAGGGCTTAGCAGCATGTCTGGCACACAATAAAAGAGTAAGAGCTCAACTGACATTAATGTTATTAGGATGGTCAGGATGCCTGGGTGGCTCAGTGGTTGAGTGTCTGCCTTCGGCTTGAGGCATGGTCCCAGGGTCCTGGGATCGAGTTCCACATCAGGCTTCCTGCAAGGGAGCCTGCCTCTCTTTCTCCCCGTGTCTCTGGCTCTCTCTGTGTCTCTTATGAATAAATAAATAAAATTAAAATATATATATATATAATTAAGATGGTCTTCTTATATTTGGCTTCAGAGATTTAGAATCTTTAGACAGTCTCTTTGAATTGGATCTTGGGGAGCAGCTATTGGGAACTGAGGATTGCAAGGATTGATTTAGATAATTATGTTAGTACAACCATAAGTGAATGAAGGAAGATCGGGGAGGTAGGGATATAGTAGTCACTAACAAAATGTCTCTCACCCGCAACTGGCTGTTTGCATCAAGGGCACTGGTAGCATCATCTAGGATGAGTACACGTGGTTTCCGGATCAATGCTCGAGCCAAGGCCACTGCCTGTCGCTGACCCCCTGAGAGCTGGCTCCCAGCCTCGCCCACCTCTGCAGAGACAAGAGCCAAGGTGAGGGCTGGATAACCCACACACCTCCACATATACACTCACACATATACACACCAAGGACTGATGGATACAGCTGGATAGGGAAGGTTCTGGGAAGGTGAACAAGTTCTGAGAATGAGGAAGCCCATAGGAACAAGATCCTACAGCTTCAAAGTGACGTCAGGGGGTTGGAAGAACTACAGAATAAAAGTTTCAGCGAAGATGTCTGGGAGGGGATATGAGCTGAAAGAGCACCTGTGTCATAGCCCTGCGGGAGTTCAGAGATGAAACTATGGGCTCCAGACACCATTGCAGCAGCTATGACTTCCTCCATAGTTGGCTTCTGGACCAGGCCATAGGCAATATTTTCTCTAAAACTCCTTCCAAATAGCTGTGGCTCTTGTCTCACTGCAGCCACCTAGGACAAAATACATGAAGAGTCATAGGGGCAGCCCAGGTAGCTCAGCAGTTTAGCGTTGCCTTCAGCCCAGGGCCTGATCCTGGAGATCCCGGATTGAGTCCCATGTCAGGCTCCCTGCATGGAGCCTGCTTCTCCCTCTGCTTGTGTCTCTGCCTCTCTCTCTCTCTCTCTCTCTCTCTCTCCCTCTCTCTGTCTGTCTCTTATGGATAAATAAATAAAATCTTAAAAAAAAAGAGTCATAGAACAAGGAACATAGGAGTATGGTTATCTAGAGATTGACAACTCAAAATCTTCATTGAAAGCATATCACAAAATTACTCTCTCTCTCCTGACACCCCATCTCCACCCACGGTCTGTCATTCCCCAGTCCTCCTTTCAGAGTGCTCGGTGAGAGTGTTCAGTGAGAGTTCTCATTCAATGTCCCCTGCCCTCCCCTCTGCCATCTTCTTGCTCACCTGTGTGTGCAGGTAGCGGTGCTCATATTGGGGAAGGGGCTCTCCATCCAGGAGCAGCTGCCCCTTAGTGGGCTGGTACAGATTCTGCAGCAGGGCAGCCACAGTGCTCTTCCCAGACCCATTGCGCCCCACCAGCCCTATCACCTCACCAGGATGAAGGGTGAATGTCAGCGCCTGGAGGCCAGAGAATCAAAAAATAAGAGACACAGTGAAGCCTTTAACCTTGAGGCTGTCATTGTCTTATTACATGGCATGATGTCTTACCCCTAGGAAGAAAGGGGGGGAAATTGGAAAAACATAGCAATTCCTACTCTCCCACAGGCATAGATTTCTGTTCCTCAGGGATGATGGCTCCCCAAGGAGTAGAGATGGATGGTGAGGCAAAGGCCAGAGCAAAGACCAAGCACCACTATGTCACACCCTTGACATCAGATGTCATGAGAAAACAGAAAGAAAAAAAATCCCATTCCAAATTACAAATGGAAAGAAAAGGAAGAGATAGAAGATGAGAGGCAGATTTTGCTTCAGCAGTTTCTTGGGATGTAAGACTCTTCTCCCGGAGAGCCTCTTCTCCCGTCCCCCCTTAGAAATCCAAGCCGTTCTAGAATTTGGGGCAGTTGTATGGAGTAGACAGGGCTCATCTTTGCCTTTGAGGGGTTAGGAAGTTAGGAAGGATCTATCTGGACCTTGTGTTAGGCAGGCTGAAGACAGGACCAAAGTTTAGGATGGTAGAGGTGAGAGTGAGGCTGGTGGAAAACAAGGATTGGTAAGTTGTACCTGCAGCACTGGGACATCCGGATGGCTTGGGTAGGCAAAGGAGACATCTTGAAACTGGACAAGGCCCTCCAAATTTAAAGAAGTCAAGACACCACTGGCAGGACAGCGAGGGATCCGGCCCAGGTATTCAAATATTTCCTTTGAGGAGCCCACAGCCTTCTGTACACTGGGGTAGGTGGAGAATAGTGCCTGGAGGAGCGGTACAACTACTGAGAAGAGGAAAACAAATCTGCTTGCCAGATTTATGTGATATGACAAGGATAAAGAATGGAAGGAAGGTGACACAGACGGTGATGAGACCCAGGAACGAAAAGCGCTGGGGAGTGACAATGGAAGGCTCTCACCTCCACAGCTGAGGCGAACTGGATCTGGTAGAGAATAAACGTGACAAGGTTCCCGCTGTTTATAGTCCCATTTGTCACCAGCTGCCCACCTATGTATAGAATTCCCACCTTCAGTAGCATCCCTGAGATCTGTGGAAAGACCATGGGGGGGGGGAGGGATTGTGGTTGAAAAATCTAGAAGGGGGTGCAAAGAAGCAGACTCATTAGCATTATGGAGATATCAAGTTCTTTTCCCCCAGGTAACAGCAGGAGGCACCACAGGGGTAAAGGAAGCGTGCACCAGTGGAGGCTCCATGGAGTCTTGCTCAACTATGACTGTCCTCCCCATCACTGCTGTCGTCTTGTGTGAGGAGCATGTGGCTCTTCACAAAAGGCTTTTATTAATGTAATGTCATCTAATATTCATAGCAAGAATCCTACAAACAAGGTTATACTATTCCCCCTTTTAAAAATGAGAAAACATGGGCACCTGGGGGGCGCAGTCGGTTGAACATCCGACTCTTGTTTTCGGCTCAGGTCATGATCTCAGGGTCCTGATACTGAGCTCAGCATTGGGCTCCCCACTGAGCAGGGAGTCTGTTTGCCCCCTCCCTCTCCCTCTGCCCCACCCCCTGCTTCTGGTCGCTCTCTCTCTCAAATAAATATATAAATCTTTTTTAAAAAATAAAATTAGGAAACAATCTCAAGAGAAAATAAGTTACTAGCCCATGGTCACAGAGCTAGTAAGTGGAAGCATTGAGCCAGGAATTCCTGAATGCTGCTCTCAGACTCTTTCAATGATGTAACAGATGTCCCTCACCCTTGGCTTCTGCTATTCCCATGGCTCTCATTAGCACATCCACATAGTCCCAGCATGATGCTGGCACAGGTACAGGAATTTATGATTCCCCGAGTTCTGCCTGAGAGGCAAAGGGAGGCCCTGTGACTGGAAGATAGGGCATCTCCCCAAAAGATGGTGCTGGGTGGATTTGGTGTACCATGGTGACATGAAGCCATCCAGCAGGTCTAAAAAAGAGGGAGGCAGTTAAGAACACTAGGTAGGGTAACTGAGCTCCAGCCTGCTAGGATGAGAACACCAAACCACTGCCAGGGTGTATGGAGCAGGATTAATGGAAAAGGGAATGGAGTCGAGGCATCTCAGGGACAAGGGAACAGGCATTCTTCTCCAGGTGCTCACATTGGTGATCCAGAGGTTGACTGCATAGGCCAGAGCCTCCTTCTGATGGAGGGTATTCATTTTCTGCAGTTTTTGGCTAAACTTCTGGGCCTCACACTCCTCATTGGCAAAGCTCCGGACTGTGGGCATTGCTGACAGCACCTCAATGGCCACCTGGCTAGACTCTGCCAGAGATGTCTGCACCTGTGTGGCCAGCACCTGCGGAGACATGGACAAGAACTGTCACCCAGGGTTGGCAAGCCATCAGGGACACTACTAGCACCTGAGTTGCTTAGTTGGAGATTAAAGGTGAGAAGAGGCAGGTAGATGAAGGAACGAGAAAGGGGCACAGTTATACCTCCTGGATACTGAAGAGTTACAGTGGAGAGGAAATTTTTACTGAGAAGGGTCACAGGGAATCATAATCTTGAGAGTGGTGATCATGTTCATAAAGATGGATTGTGGGCAGAAGTTAGAAGAGAAGACACAGAGAGTATGGAGCCCAACACTGAGCAATCTGGGGACATGGACTACAGGGACAGGGAGTCCCATGGAGATGGGGAATCACTTGAGGGTGCCAGGAAAGAAAGCTCAGAGGAGTTAAATCCACCCAATCTGGGAAATGAAGGACTGCAACTCCCTGGACATACCTGGTGCCATCTTCCTAGCTTCTCAGGCAGAAGGAAAAGCAGAGGCAGGGTGACCAGGGTGACCATGGTGAGGGACAGTGACTCCCAGAGCATGAGCCCCAAGAGACACAGCCCCCGTACCAGGTACCACAACAATAGGCTCAGCTTCTCACTCAGAGACTCACTCAGGGTGGATGTGTCCTCTGTCACCCGAGAAGTGATGGCTCCTACCAGGGGTTGGGGAGAAGAGAGAGGATGAATGAGAGGTTCAGAGTGGTGGGAGGGACTAGCAATGACCCAGGGAGGCGGGAGGGGGGGTGGAGGGGGAGTGGAGAGGGGGTAGAGGGGGTGGGAGGAACATGGTGTTCTGAGGAGGCTGAGGAGGACAAGGTAAGGGGAATAGGGGAGTTTAGGGATCTCCATGCAGGGAGAATGAGTATTGGAGAGGAAAAACCTGGCCAAAGACTTTCGTTTTGACTATAAAGAAATTGATTCCTATGTGAATTTCCATTTCTCTGACACATTTCTGTTCCTTAAAGATGTATACCCCATGCCGCACACGAGGGCGAGCTGGTCACATAACAAAGCTGGACAAAAAACAGAGAGTGCTGCTAGAAAGCAGTCCAGAAAACTCTACTGAGCTCTGGGCTGGGAATCAAAAGATGGGTTCTATCAAGCTCATCTCTATCCATATGTGACCATACCAATTTCAGCATTTAGGGTCTGGGCCTCAGGTTCCTTCTCTGCAAAATAGGCAATTGGACTCTGTGATCTCAAAATTTCCAGGTCTTAAATTCTATAGTTTCTATCTAACTATACGCACAGGGATATATTTATGGAAAAGTCTTAGATGGAAAAATTAGGTTTTTCTGAAGGTAAAGAACATAATACTCTTGAGGTACACCAAGAATAAGAAATGACAATGTGACAATGTGTGTGTGTGAGAGAGAGATCATGGTTATAAGTAAAAGATGATATATGGGGAATATAAAGAGTATACAGATGTGTAATGAGTCTCATGAAACACCTGTTTGGTTCTGTTGGAAAAACTCTGTTTCCTGGCGCAGGACAGCCTGAAATACCTCTCCCTGCACCTGGCTGTGCACACGACCCATGATGCTGTTATAGACTCCATCACCCAAGAACTCCAGCACTGCACTAGAGAGAGATGGGGAGAAGAAGGATCAGGGAGTATTCAGGGGACAGAGAGAAGGTCCCAGAGAAGTGCACTCTGGACAGCAGCACCAACTTCCAGCCCCCTCTTTTTCAGGGTCCCCCATCCTCAGCTTCCAGCTGCAGCCCCCAGACCTGGTGGTGGTGAGAATGGACATGAGCGTTATGTTTCGTGTGAAAGCAGAGGCCGTCTCATCTTGTAAAATCCAGTCAGTGAGGTGGCCAGTGAAGAATGGAATGGCCATTTCCCCTGGAGGGGAAGAGGAGGGAGGGGTCAGTCACAAATATCAGGTCTAAGCAGATCAGTTCCAACCAGACTGTCTCCTCCCCCATCCCACTCTTTCACCTGTCACCAGTTATCCTGGAGCCGGCAGAAAGAGCACACTGAGGACCCAGCCCTGCACCCTGGAACCCACAACCCTGAACCCCAGCCCCACCAGACCTTCAGGGGGTTATTTGGGAAGACCAGAGGTCATAGGGCATGCTGCCCAGAAAAAAGGACTTGCCCAGGGTGGCTAGTCCTAGAAGACGCTGGAGCGGTCTTCTCACGACCAGAGCCCGGTCGCCTTCCTTCCCCTGATCCACATTTCCCAGAACCCACACCAACCGATCTCACTGCCCCTTGGTAGGATTCCTGCCCAGACTCCTGGGGCCGCCCCTCTGCCCCTGCACCCGCTTACCAAGACTGGAGAGAACCAACAGGGCCAGCAGGAGCGGGAGGCGGCGCATCTCTGAACCCAGGCAGCCTAGAAGCCGGCGGACCGCGTCCCCTGAACCCCCCTGCCTTCCCGGCGCCCAGAGTCCGCTGAGTTTATGCCACAGGGCGGCTGCGGACAGTGCTGCCAAGTAACCGAGGGCGAACGCATCCAGGCGACTTCCCCAGTGCAGGAGCCTGGGGCTGTCGGAAGCCCGGGGAACTCTCCACGAGCGCAGCTCTCGGAACGAGGCAAGGCCGGGCAGGGCCAAGCCCAGCGCCGCCGCCGCGGGCTGCAAAGCCGCCAGCCATCCCCCGAGTCCTGCGCTTTCGCTTCCGGGGCCGACCGCCGCCCCGAGCACGCCGCGGGCGCCCAGCCACAGCACAGCCCCGCGGCTCAGGCCCAGCACCCAGAGCCGGAGCAGGGGCGGCGCCGTGGGGACCAGCACGGAGCAGACGGCGGGCAGCGCCTCCCGGAGCAGCACCCAGTCGGCGAGGAGCAGCAGCGCTACCCCCAGCCACGCCAGGGGAGCTCGGGGCGAGCAGGGGCGCCCGCCGGGACTGGGGGGCCCTGAGCCGGCCATGGGAGTCTCCGTCGTCCCCGCCGGGCCGAGGCTGTGCGGGGAGAGGGCGCTGAGGCCCACGGCCGGGCGCGGGGGGCAGGGCGGGCGGCGGCGGGGTCTCGGAAAGCCCCGGGACCCGCGGGCTCGGGCCGCGCTCCCCGAAGCCGGAGGTTTCGCGGAAAGGGAAACCGAAAGCGGCCGCCGGCTCGGGAGGTCCGCCCCGCTGCAGGGGGAGGCCCGCGCAGACTACTTTGGGAGAAGGCGTGGAAAACGGATCTGGGGTTCTGGGGAGCAGCCTGCGGCCCCACCTTCTCCATCCTGCACACCCGTCCTTCCTCTCTTTGCTTCCCCCGGCGAATTCCACTTGTCGGACTTCTCCCCCCCCACCCCCCCACCCCCCGGCCTCCGGACCGCGTTACCCCAGCCCCTTCCGTCACCCGTCTCCGGGCAGATCTGCCCCGGGGAGGTTAGCGCCGGGGGCGAAGCCTCACTCGGCGGACGCAGGCGCCCCTAGCGGGCGGGGCGAAGGCGCGGGGCTGGAGGGGGCGCGCTGCCCGCGGTCCCGGGACGAAGAGCAGCGCCGCAGGCGGCAGGCAGCGCGGCGCCGAGATGCTGCGGGCGGGAGAAGTCCACACTGGGGTGAGGAGTCTGGCCGGGGGGTCGGCAGAGAGGTGGAGGAAGGGGAGCGACGGGGGCGACCCCAGGGGCTCCGCGCAGTGAACGCGGGGACTAACAGTGAGGCGGGAGTTTGCACCAGCCAGTGCTGGCAGAGATGCCCCGCGTTGAACCCAGGGGGCGTCTCTGCTCTGAAGGGGCTCGGGTGGGAGTCCGCGGAGGCACTGCGCGCGCGAAGCTGGGGGCGGGGGTCCAGGCGCTTTGGCTCTTAGCTGCAAGCATCAAGGGGAAGCTGCTCTAAAGCGCTTTCGCTTTCACCTCCGGACTGTAGAGAGGGGCTGAATAAATCAGGGAGGGGGTTGGAGAAGGTGCAAACTGATGCAGACGTGGTTCCCTGGGTGAAGTAGGGCAGCACTCGGGCGAGGGCAATGTGGGCACTGATTGAGAGGGGACAGCGCATCACACACACCTTTGATCCACTGGCCGCTGGGTTGCTCAGAGCCACAGCCCTGACAGCGGGGGTTCCTTGTGAGCCGGTGGTGCCCTTGCCCGTCCTCGCCCAAGAAGGCTCCCGCTTGGCGGCCCAGGGGCTGCCATGCTCTCTTCCCTGTGTCCTGCCGGCCTGCCCAAGGCTGCCTGGCTTCTGCTCCCAAACTCCTGCCACAACTGTCCGCTTGGGGGTGGCTTTACTTTAGAGAATGACCTCTGGAGTGGGGCTGCCCTTTTTCAATGACCCTCAATTCATGGTGAATCAGTCTGTGGGAAAGCACTTGCAGGGCAATGGCCCTGGAGCCCGGACCCACAGAGTGATGAGGATTCACTGAAACCATTTGTCAGGTGAGCAGTGGGAAATAGGAAGCAGAAGTCAAAACAAGAGATGGGAGTTAGACCTGGGCGTTAGTCCCAATCTGCTATTAATTCTAGGTGGCCTTGACTAGTCAGTCACCCTCCTCCATGATTCAGTTTCTTCATTTGAACCAAGGATCTTTAAGGCTCTTTGCAACTCAAAGAGGAGTAGAAAACCTAGCCTTATGCCTTTCACCTTCCTTAATTATTTTCCTTAATTTCTTTTCTTGACCTGAAAAGTCAACTCAAACTCCCCAGGCAAATCCTCTCTTCGTACAGAGCTCTTCCCCTGGCTACTGAGATGCACATTGACCTCTTGATCACAAATCCTTAAATGAGGGGTGCATGGGTGGCTCAGTCAGTTAAGCAACTAACTCTTGATCTCAGCTCAGGTATCCATTTCAGGGTTCTCCTGTGTTCAAGCTCTGTGCTGGGCTCCGCGCTGGGCATGGAGCCTACTTGAAAAGAAAAGAAAAAAGAAAAAAGAAAAGGAAAGGAAAAAGAAAAGAGAAAAGAAAAAGAAATCCTTAAATGAAACCATTTTTTATTTTATTTTAAACCAACTCATGTGTTCCTAGGCTGCCTCCTTCCTTCCTTAATGCCTGACCCTGCTAACCACCATACCACTTGTTGATTCTGTTACTTAATAAACTGGTTAAGGAGTGTGGGGGTGGAGAATTAGGGCCAAAAAAAAAAAAGACATGAGCTTGTTTCCCAAGGTCAGAGTAACCTTCCCTGTGTTGGGTCTGACCACATCTGCAGCAACAAGCACATGTGGTGGTCATTCACTTGTGGGGCTGCCTCACCCACCAGTGATTGGAAGCACCCCATCCCTCCTCCCCACGCCTCGAGCCAAATGTCTACCTCTGCAAACCTCATCCTCACCTCTCTCCTTATGGTGGGAAGGATTCTACTTAGGAAGGTTGGGGCCTAGAGATAGGATTCTTTCTATGTTGTTGCCACCACCAGGCTCTGACATTCCCCTGCAGTTGGGAGAGGAGATGGAGATAGTGGAGAGATAGAGGGGATATCCTATACTGGGAGTCAGCTCTGGCCTAAATTGCTAAATGATCTTGAATCGGTGACCTCCTTTCTCTAGGAATGTTTCCTCATCTGTAACATGAGGGAATCAAAGCTCTTCCTGCTATGACATTCCATCCTCTGTGTCTCCACAGACAACCATCATGGCAGTAGAGTTTGATGGAGGTGTTGTGGTGGGTTCTGATTCCCGGGTGTCTGCAGGGTAAGTACCAGTCAAGGTGAATGCTTCTGGAAGGAAGCCAATGGCCCCAAGTACAGATTTTTTCTTACCCATTCATGAAGATATTAGTAAAGTGGAGCTTCGCAGAAACTGAATTAACCTTTTAGAAAGGCCCCTATAATGAGATACTGGGCAAGTGCTTGGGTCCCTAAATTCATGGAGAATCTGGGGCCTAAAAGCTTATGTGGCCTGTCCCTGCAGGGATGGGTATAAAACGATAAGGTATGAGAAGAAGGTAGGATGCAAAGATTTCAGGGGCCTGCCTTCCTTTTATGTTTAGAGATAGAAAAGACGGCTCTGCCAGGAAGATATTCTGGTTTTTCATCCAGCACATGTTGATCTAGTTCTGTCTCCTCCATTCTGGCCAGTTTCCCCCTATGCAAAATGAGTATATGGGATTAGGTCAATATCACTTACTTTACATACCATGGAACTTTCTTCAAGATGGATAGAGCAAAGAAGAATTGCTTAAGAATATTATTCTTAATTTACTATTTTTTTCTTTTATTATTAAATCTAAGCCTGAAAATAAGTCTAACTTTGATCATTACTTGCTGTTTCATTTATTTGAGATGATTTTTTTCTTCCTGTTTTAATCCAAGTATTAAATATCATGGACTCAGGGATCCCTGGGTGGCTCAGCGGTTTAGCGCCTGCCTTTGGCCCAGGGCACAATCCTGGAGTCCTGGGATCGAGTTCCGCGTCGGGCTCCCGGCATGGAGCCTGCTTCTCCCTCCTCCTGTGTCTCTGCCTCTCTCTCTCTCTATGTCTATCATAAATAAATGAGTAAATCTTAAAAAAAAAATCATGGACTCCAGTGTTCTTCTCTTGTCAAATAAATTTGGGAAACACTGATTAACCTAAAAAAATCTGGCATTGCTAATGTTGCTGCCTGCTGACTCCTTCCCCACAGAGAAGCAGTGGTAAACCGAGCATTTAACAAGCTGTCCCCACTACACCAACACATCTACTGTGCTCTCTCTGGCTCCGCTGCTGATGCCCAGGCCATGGCTGACATGGCTGCCTACCAACTGGAGCTCCATGGGTATGAAGCTTTGGGGATCTTCAAGTCCACACTCACTACAGTTCTCCCAACCAGCAAACCCTGAGACAGTGTCATTCCTGTTCCAGGAACACTGCTATGAAAAATGAAAATTTCTCATTTAGGCTCCTGTTTTTATTAGCTTTGAACTGGCACTTGAAACCTGGTTTCCACATCTGTAAAGTGGAGATAATTAATAGTACCTACCTTACCTCACCGGACAGTTTTGTTGAGAATCAAATGATCTATATGAAAATGGCTTGAAAATTGTCAATCTATCTTACTAGAAATAGCGAGAAAGAAAATGATGGTGTGCCCACCATATGCCAGGCAGTTACTGTGTGAGAGACCAAGGTCATTAGTGCAGAAGTAAAGCTTATTTGGTTTTACTCACACGGGCAAGGCCCTTGAAGCTCAGAGTCATATAACTGGGAGAGGGTGGGTGGGACAGTAAAGGAGGAGAACGTTGAAATCTCCTTACCAGTTAGGACGAGTGCGAGACTCGACCTCCTGTGCATGTGGGAAAGGAGCTGGAGTTTGAACTATTGCAGCTCTAGGTTTCAGGTTTCACATGTCACCTGGCAGGGACGATGGTAATGGGCACAGGAGGGGGGATCTTCAGGAAACTCTATTGACCCCTATTACTAATATTTCTTTTAGGTTGGAACTGGAAGAACCCCCCCTTGTTCTGGCTGCGGCCAACGTGGTGAGGAACATCAGTTATAAGTACCGGGAGGACCTGTCTGCACATCTCATGATAGCTGGCTGGGACCGACGAGACGGGGGCCAGGTGAGGGTCTTCCCACGTACACCCTCCCTTGGTGTTCCTCAGTACCCTACAGAGGGCGATCGAGGTTATATGTCATTCCAGCAATGGGCTCCAAAGACCCCACCTCTAAAAGTGTAGTATAATCGCAACCCATGGGGGTAGGAGTCCGTGGGGCTTCATTGCAGAACACGGAGACGCGCTGACTGTCTCAGTGGCAAAGAGAGGATTGACGCTTCCATGGTCTAACCTGAGGATGCCTTCCCCAGGTGTATGGAACCATGGGAGGAATGCTGACTCGACAACCCTTCGCCATTGGTGGCTCTGGCAGTACCTATATCTACGGTTATGTGGATGCAGCCTATAAACCAGGCATGTCCCCTGAGGAGTGCAGGAGCTTCACCACAAATGGTAACTCACCAAGGGGAAGGGTACCTGGGGGGGATTTTTAAACATGAGAAGGAAGAAGAGTATGAGGAATATATGGGTGACCATTCAATTTAATGTCCAAACTGGAACACTTTGAGTGTGAAAGGAGCAGGACAATGCTAAACTAGTTGGGACTTCAGAACCAAAGGCATCAACCAGGACTGTTCTGAGTACCCCAAATTCAAATATACGGTTACTATAAGAATCAGTGGTGTGCTGGAGCTGC